GTGTGTGTGTGTGTGTGTGTGTGTGTGTGTGTGTGTGTGTGTGTGTGTGTGTGTGTGTGTGTGCAGGACTCTAGCCAGCACCAGTTTTTCCCTCAATTACCTGAACTTTGCAGCATGTGAACTGGCTTAATTTTTATATAGTTGTACTTTACTGTATATAATCCAATTGGTGTAGTCCTTCAATGAACTTGGTACTCTCTAATACACGCACATGTAACTATATATACAGTGTTGATTTAATGCTCAGATTACATGCCCAATTTAACCCTATCACTGTCACATACTGACAAAAATGTTGGCCCTTAGTAGCACTTATAGGAGTTTTTGCTCAATACAAGGCCAAAAGACCTGTGACTTCTGGGCACTGAACTAAGTTGGTGGGAGGTATAAGAAACTATGCTAAGATAGCTAAGATAGCAGTGAACATTGGTTTTGAAGGCTTGTCGGTTGTATTTGGGACTAAAACCTTGTCTAGGAGGGAGTTCCATGATTTTGCAGTCTATGGAAACACACTGTTGCTGTACAAGGACTTTATAGAGACCGGTATTTGGACACTGTAATGCTGCAATGTTGGGAGTAATAGGTATTTTGCAAATACTGTACGTCTTACTCATTCTGAAGTAATTTCACTTGGATATTTGTGGTCATTTTCAGCAAGGAAGGACTACTATGAAATTCCGATTATTTAATTTGTTGTAGCTATTATATATCATTACCTGAAGCGCTGAGCTACAAACATTCTTTAGATTATAAGGGCAATCCTGTGTTACAAATGTAGTTTGCCCTTGCCTGTATATAACTGACCTTTCAATTATAGCACTAAGGACAGTCAAGGCCATGTCAACTGGGTTTGTCCATGACATTTGCACATGCAGGGCTCGAAATTAATTTTTGGGAATAGGTGCACTGGTGCACCCAGCCTAAAAATTTTGAGCCCTTACATGGCACTCATTCAGTTCTGACTCATCTATGATAATATAAGAATGAATATGTACATGTAGCCTGTACAAAAATTAAATTTCTTTTTTTTTTTTGTCCAGCATTACTATGTACAAGTTTTGATTCTAGTGCAAAAAAATGTTATTTCTGGTCATAAGTTAGGAATCTAGAGATTTTACTTTACAGGATTGTCACTTTTTTTTCAACAATATTATACATATTTATACATGTACATTTTAATATGTTAATATGTCTTCTTCTTGCATTGTTGTTGGGTTGGTTCAGAATAATATTTTGAAATTAAAAGAAAACGATTCCTGTTGTGTGTAGAATATCACCCATGAAATTAAATTTGAGTAGCGAGGGTTAGATTCCCATTCAGGGTTGGACAAGTCCCATTGCCCACTTGCCCAGGGCAAGTAAAAGTACTGTTCGGGCAAGTAAATATTCCCCTGCACTTGCCCGATTGGGCAAGTAAATTTTAGGATGCAAAGTATAGCCCCTGCATTATTTCGATCAAGTTTCAAACAATTTTGATGAATAAAGCATCCAATAAATAAACTCTGCTATAATAAAATAATTTCCTTTCTGCTAGTAAAATGAATAGAAATGCGTCATATTTTGGGCAAGTGAAAAGTTGGTTCGGGCAAGTGAAAATGACCAGGTACTTGCCCGGTAGGGCAAGTGGATTTTTGAAAACTTGTCCAACCCTGCCATTTCCCCATCCCTCACCCCCACTCTGTCTACCATCAGCCCGTAATGAGCCCAGTTCTCAGTACTGGGTTGAATCAGACGACATTTTTGTCATGCTTCTAGACTCCTGTCATCTCTGGGTTTGTTCTGTACCCATGACACAGCCCAGCTGGGTGTCTCTACATGTATATCCTCTTCCCTTCGCTGAAATTCTCCACAAGGGCACTGACGGCGGCTTTGACATTGATCCTGAAGTGTCGATTGGTTTTGTAGGTCGAACTTGATCTTGAAGGAGTGATTGTTAAGATGTACAAATGTGGAGGTGTAATCAGTAGATTCTCCCCACTGGGCACTAGCTATAGCCTAGATTCCAGCCTTGTTGGTGGCAGGGCAGTAGTTTTACTGATAGTATTGAAAATGTGGGAGTCTGGGGAGAAACTGAGCTTTGATCAGGATTTTTATTTTCGTAAAGACACAGAATTCTTGAAATTTTGAAAAATGATCCATAATATTATGATTCAAATTGATGTAATTCAAGTGACTATTTCTACTGCCTACAATATGACAACCTTTCTGATATCTTGGCAATGTATTTATCATATTTCATGTTTGTGTTGTTAAAGCAACAGAATTTTTATCTTTTTTTTTCAGGAAGATTTCAAGAGTTATTAAGATTTGACCATTGTGACTTCTTATGAAATGACAACCCCTCTTGTGTTGATATAAATATACACAATTTTTAGCCTGGGTGCCATCTTCCAAAGTTTCTCCCTGTTCCCTAATGTCACTGGCTAATACATTTTTGCTGTCATTCATGTCATATTCATTTGTTTATTTGTTTACTTATGATGTTTATTGTTGTTGTTTACTCAGGCCTATGTTCCTCCCCGGACCATGCCTCCCCCCAGCCCCAGCCAAGGTAGCAGCAGCGGCCATTCCAGCGGAGAGCAACTCAGCAAGACTAACCTATACATACGTGGCCTTACCCCCAACACTACTGATCAGGACCTCATCAACTTATGCTCACCGTGAGTAAACAAACAAACATGTCAACAATAAACAAGTATACAAACAAACATGTCAACAAACAAACAAACATGTCCCTCAGCAAGACTAACCTATACATACGTGGCCTTACCCCCAACACTACTGATCAGGACCTCATCAACCTATGCTCACCGTGAGTACACAAACAAACAAACATGTCACAAACAAACAAACAAACATGTCCCTCAGCAAGACGAACCTATACTTACGTGGCCTTACCCCCAACACTACTGATCAGGACCTCATCAACCTATGCTCACCGTGAGTAAACAAACAAACAAACATGTCACAAACAAACAAACAAACATGTCCCTCGGCAAGACGAACCTATACATACGTGGCCTTACCCCCAACACTACTGATCAGGACCTCATCAACCTATGCTCACCGTGAGTACACAAACAAACAAACAAACATCACAAACAAACATGTCACTCAGCAAGACTAACCTATACATACGTGGCCTTACCCCCAACACTACTGATCAGGACCTCATCAACCTATGCTCACCGTGAGTAAACAAACAAACATGTCAAAACAAACAAACAAACATGTCACTAACAAACAAACAAACAAACCTACATATCACTTATCCCTGATAGCTAACTTCTTACCCCCAACCTATTTTTAGCCTACTGAAAAAAGTACAAGTCTCAAAATCTGCAAAAATGGTCATGGATAAATCAGAACATGAAAATCTATTTGCCTTGCCTATAACCCAAGACCACAGCATGTCCAAGACAAAAGATACAAAAACCAGAAGTTCTGTTTCAGTACCAAGGTCAGCCACCATGAAACCGTTTTCCCAAGACCTACCCACATACCAAATACAAAATACATCATCACACTCAGTCTATCCAGACCTCAAATGATGCTGGCCACAAACACAGACACACACACACACACACACACACACACATACACACACACACCAAAAACAATACCTCCATAAAACAACAAATCAAATTTAAAACCAGTAAAAGCAGCTCCAGTAGGTGTGTCCCCCACAATATTCTAATCCCCCCCACCGATGGTCAGCACTGGAATCCCTTTGATGTAAATGACAATCCATCCACAAATATGGGGAAACACATACATAGTCACATCGAAAACAATTATATTACCTTCATAAAAGCTATTAAAACAACAAAACCAGTACAAGCAGCTCCAGTAGGCGTGTCCCCTGTGATATTTTAATTCCCCCCACCGATGGTCAGCAGTCTCCTGGCACTGGAATCTCTTTGAAGTCAGCTTCTGCTGTTTGTTTGTTTGCAAGAAGCCACCAGAATTAGCTGTGTTTGGACTAGACTAATCATGTTGGCATGTTGATATTTATTCTCCAGATTAAACTTAGAAGTAGTGGTTTTTTTTCTAGCTTTGGCATGTGAAGTTGCTTAGAGAAAAATCTGTGGAGTCTTGGGCAATTTTGGATTCGTTATTGGATCATTTCCCCACATTTTGAAAGAAAACTTAATTGGAGAAAAATATTTGTAAGTCTTGGGCAATTTTGAATTTATTATTTCATCATTTTCCCCACATTTTGAAAGAAATGTACATCATTTTCTTATCATAACAGACAGATTTCTGGAGAAAAATTAAAGAAATCATGACCATAAATTGGGCAACAGAGAATTGTAGAAAAGGCACAAAAAGTAACGAAATAACTCCCAATCTCTTTACAATAGGTTTTTCATATCGTAACAGACGTTCTAGACGAAAATGAAAGAAAGTGGAAATTGGGCAACATAGAACCGTAGAAAAAGCAAATAAGAATAACCAAATAATCGCCAACTGAAACCCTGCCCTACCACACAATTGCTCTCAGAATCAATACATTAGGTCAGATTATCCATTTCTGCTGACCAAAAACCATCCACACAAACACGACAGATATCACACCTCACACTACCTGCACACCAGCTATCAGTTGTACCAGGGCTCGAAATTCATGTTTGGGAATAGGTGCACTGATGCACCCAACCTAGAGAATCAGTGTGCAAAAATTTTTGGGGTGCACCATATAAAACAAAACATAATTACAGATCTTACTGCTCCTCATCTGAGCTTGAATCTGAAATGGGAGCTAACTTCAAAATCTTTAAAAAGTATTACATCAATGATGAATTAATTTTTTATCATTTTTCTGACACTTAGGTGCCAAGAATATCCTGTCTACTATTATACATTCAATATGTACAAAAATACCTATAACAATTTGGGTGCACCATTGCACCTACAGAAAAAAATTGGGTGCACAGCTCTCAATTTGGGTGCAGTAAGGTGCACATACACCCAGTATTTCCAGCCCTGGTTATAGTACTGTTATTGATTTGACATCAATGGTTTGAAGTATGGCTTTTATCATATCAAAATCAATTTTTCCTTTGTTAGAATTTTGATGACCTGTTTTTTCTGCCTGTCTCTTTTGTTGTTGAGGTTATTTATGTTGTGTTTTGTGTTTTTCTGTCTGTTGTTGTTCAACGTGTGGGAATATGAAATTGTATTGAACAGTGTATTATCTTTCACACACACATTTTATGTGTATTGTGAATATGACTACAATGTACATTGTACATGTATGCATATGTACCAGTCCTATACATTCATACATAACAGTATTGTACTCTGACATCCAAAAACAGTCATATTTCTTTATGATAAATATCCTTTTGAAGATAGAACACATTCAACAATTGCACTTGCAATTTTCAAGAAGTTTCATCGATAAGATTTTGGACCATCAATATAAGTTTTCTATGTTGCATGTAACTTGTGATATCTTCCATGTTACCGTCACAATCTACTATCAAACTTATAACATTATATGTTTGTATGAACTTCATGTTAATGACTTGAATGTTTTAACTGGATTGGGACAAACTGTGTAGACATTATATATAGTGAGTCTGTATGTAAACCAAAATAGAACATTTGGGAGATGAAAAATTATTATTTCTAATAAGTTTTGAAGGAAATAATATTTGTGTAATAAAGTCAACCTAAAATCGGACTGATTACCTTATCAAAACTTACCAACACATCAGCATGACCTTAAACTTTCAAAGGTCAATACAATTCACATTTGATGTGAATTACCTTTAAGGAAAGCCAACCAAGGGTCACTAAGGTAGACACAATTTGTATTTATCTTTCATGATATTACTGACAAAAATACACAATTTGTCCCTTTTGTAGAAAATTTGTTGTGTCCAAGTTTTCCCCCTTATTCCCGTCTATTGTCCATTTTTAACCCTCTCTTGTTCTGACCTGTTTGTTGTGAGTAAACTGTTGTCTTTTCTCTGTACTTTACATTTTGCAGGTATGGCAAAATTGTATCAGTTAAGGCAATATTAGACAAAAACACCAATGTTTGTAAAGGTAAGTTGTTCCTTGTTCTTTTAACGTGTTATTTTTTCAAGTTATGTTTATTTTGTTTCAGATATGGGAAAATCATTTCCACTAAGGCTATATTGGACAAAAACACTAATAAATGCAAAGGTGAGTTGAGTTTAGGGACAGAACAGGGATCAGAGGAGACCGGAAATAATCATCAACAGTTACTGACATAAAACATGAAGTTATTGACTTCTGTCTGAAACAAATCCTAAGTTTTGCAGGTGTACCTACAAAATTGTGTGGAAAAACAACAGCATGTGCCCCATGGGTCTTGGGGATCTAAACAGTGTGTGATGATGCTCAGATGTGAACAGCTATAATTATGATTTATAAACATATCAGAATGAGGGTGGGAAATCACCCAGTTTATTATATCAGCAGTTATACCCTTTTGTTAGTGTCAACAATTGTAACACTACAGTGTAGCTATGCAATAGTACATATAGCTACAATTGTAATGTACAAATGTACACAGTAACTGTAGCTATATGTGTATTCGTTGCTGGTTGCAATTATAAATTGTGTTTTGGATGGAGGTATGGTAGATGCCTGTTTATACAGTCATGTAGTTCAACAAGACAAAATACAGTAGCATGATATAGCCAATGATGTTTTGAAATTTTCAACTTTCTCTATTGAAGTTTCTTTATCAAATTTTCTATTTCTTATGTTCTTTTTTATCTCATTACTGAACATCTTTAAGAATAAGGGATTTCTTTGACTCAGTGGTCTGTATATTTCCCCCCTCCCCAGGATATGGCTTTGTGGACTTTGAGAGCCCAGGTGCAGCCCAGAAGGCAGTCCAAGCCCTGCAGGCACAGGGCGTCCTGGCACAGATGGCAAAGGTCAGTATACTTTTACCTTTCACACAGGTAGCAAAGGTCAGTTGTTAACCTTTGACATAAATTGCAACGGATGGTCAACTTTAACCTTTGACACAGATTTCAATGGTCAGTCATCTTTAACCTTTGACACATGGCAAAGTTTAGTGAACCTTTGGCACAGGTGGTCGGTCAATTTTAACCTTTAACACAGATGGCAAAGGTCAGTCAACTTTAACCTTTGACACTTGAGGCAAAGGTATGTCAACTTTAACCTTTGACACAGACATCAAAGATCATTGACCTTGAACCTTTGGCACAAATGGAAAATGTCAGTCAACTTTAACCTTTGACACAGATGACAAAGGTCAGATCTTTAACACAGATCAGTCAAAGGTCAGTCATCATTTGCCCCATTTTATATCACTTTTTCCTCCTCTCCTCAGCAACAAGAGCAGGACCCGACCAACCTGTACATCTCCAACCTGCCTCGCAGCATGACGGAGCACGACCTGGAGAGCATGCTGGCCCCGCACGGCACGGTCGTGTCCACACGGGTCTTACGGGACAACGTCACAGGCATCAGCAGAGGAGTAGGCTTTGCTAGGTAACAAACATACACCTGCAGTTATGGTAGGGTTCGCTAGGGGGCATTACTGTCTAGTGCACGGCACGGTCGTGTCCACACGGGTCTTACGGGATAACGTCACAGGCATCAGCAGAGGAGTAGGCTTTGCTAGGTAACAAACAAACATACACCTGCAGTTATGGTAGGGTTCGCTAGGGGGCATTACTGTCTAGTGCACGGCACGGTCGTGTCCACACGGGTCTTACGGGTGGTGTTGCATACACAGCACCGTGGTGTCCACACGGGTACTACGGGATAACGTCACAGGCATCAGCAGAGGAGTAGGCTTTGCTAGGTAACAAACAAACATACACCTGCAGTTATGGTAGGGTTCGCTAGGGGGCATTGGTGTTGCATACACAGCACCGTGGTGTCCACACGGGTACTACGGGACAACGTCACGGGCATCAGCAGAGGAGTAGGCTTTGCTAGGTAAACCTGCAGTTATTGGTGGATTGGATAGGGGGCACTGCTTAAGTGTACACCTGAGTCTAACACTTTATGGACACAGGCATATGGAAATGAGTAGGCTTTACTCAGTAAGAATCCAAAGCCTGCAGACAGACATAGGTCTGCTAGAGGGCATTTTTGTGTTGTGCATAAGTAGAAAATGTAGAGTTGATGGCTTGTTGAACTTGCTGACTTGTGTTTCAGGATGGATTCTACAGAACAATGTGAAGCTATTATCAACAAATTCAATGGCAAATATCTTCAAGGTAAGCACTTTTTTATGTTAACCAAATTAAAACATTGTTTTTGCTCTGTTTCCTCTTCTTCTTCTCCAAACCAAAAAGGTCAATGACCTGAACCAGACAGTCTGTTACCATGGTAACTGGTGTTGGGTTACATCATGTTGGAATTTTATAGTGATAGGCATTGTGAAGCTTTGCTAGTGAAGTTTGTTAGTTTGTTTGCATGTTTGTTTATTTCAGGGCATACAGGGCATTGTGAAGCTTTGCTAGTGAAGTTTGTTTATTTGTTTGTTTATTTATTTCAGGGCATACAGGGCATTGTGAAGCTTTGCTAGTGAAGTTTGTTTATTTGTTTATTTATTTGTTTATTTCAGGGCATACAGGGCATTGTGAAGCTTTGCTAGTGAAGTTTGCTGATGGAGGAGTGAAGAAGAAGAACCCGTATCAACAACAGGAGAGGAGGGGATGGGGGACAGACGACGTGAGTGAGGGAAGGAAAGAAGGAGGGAGAGAGGAGGGAGGGAGGGAGGGATAGGGAGGGAGAGGGGTGAAGGAGGGATAGGGAGAGGAGGGGATGGGGGACAGACGACGTGAGTTTGTTTGTTTGTCTTTTTCACTAGGGGAAACATATTTCCTACTGGCATTTTTCAATGTGACCAGGGGAGAAAACCCTAGACATATGCTATCAACATTAAGTGAAATCAATGATACAGAAATAATTATATGCTGCTACAAAAATTACAAGTTGGTACAAAACGAAGGGACCTAGAAACAATATGCTTGAAACTAAAGATAACCTGTCCTAGGTAATGGATTGACATAAAGTAACGTATGTATTGTGGAGAAGTGCTTAACTGTAACCTGCCATGTAACATGTATGTGGATGCAGTAACCCATGTTATGTCTGTTTTCAGGCCGTACACCTCCCATATGACCCCACCTTGCCAAATGGGTGAGTTTCTTAGATTCATCGTTCTAGCTTTTTTTTTTAAACCAAAATTTGAATTAGGAGCTGTTAGTGATTACTGATGGTACATGTACACACAGTTTGAGTTAGACATTACCGATTGTATGTTGATTATAATGGTGGATGTGTTTGTGTTCCAGCCTTCCCCCCACACCTCGAGTGATGCACCATCCAGTCATCCCAGCCTCACCCTACAGTCCCATGAGCAACACACCTTCTTATAGCACAGTGAGTATCAATAAACAAACAAACACACACACAAACAAACACACACACCTCACCCTACAGTCCTATGAGCAACACACCTTCTTATAGCACAGTGAGTACAAACAAACAAACAAACACACAAGCAAACAAACACATCTCACCTTACAGTCCCATGAGCAACACACCTTCTTATAGCACAGTAAGTATTTCTATATGTGTGTCTGAGGGACATCCTACATGTAGTTACATTGTACTTTACTGGGCTCCCATATTCACCCTGGTTAACTAACTACAGTGCATTGGGATAGCACCCAGGCTGATAGATTTCTGTCACTTATTTTGGTAATCGTTGCAATCTGTTAAACCATGGATGTCACTGATTGTTGTGTCTGTTTCCCCAGGTTCAAACTACCTGGATCCAGCCTCACCCACATTATGTCATGCAGCCACACATGGGATCCGTAAGTCAACATTTCTTAATATCGTTTCTTCTACTTATTATGATATTAACTAAGAAGTTGCACAAAGAATTGACAGGTTTATGTGGAAGATGTACATGTAAGTGATGTCTACCTATTGCACATAATGCCAGTCCAATGCTGTAGCCTTTGGACTACATGTGTAGCTTCTTGGAAGCTGAAACTGAATCAACATAAACATTTTTCCTGACCCTTCGCAGGCTAGCATGATGACAACAGACTCGGGGATGCACATGCACCCAGGCGTGGTGCCGCAGCTGTTGTTGTTTATGTTTATGTTGTTTTGTTGTTGTTTACAGGCTAGCATGATGACAACAGACTCGGGGATGCACATGCACCCAGGCGTGGTGCCTCAGCTGTTGTTGTTGTTTATGTTTATGTTGTTTTGTTGTTGTTTACAGGCTAGCATGATGACGACAGACTCGGGGATGCACATGCACCCAGGCGTGGTGCCTCAGCTGTTGTTGTTTATGTTTATGTTGTTTTGTTGTTGTTTACAGGCCAGCATGATGACAACAGACTCGGGGATGCACATGCACCCAGGCGTGGTGCCTCAGCTGGCCAGTCAGATGAACCAACTCTCCATCTCGGGACAATCGGTAGGGGACGAACTGTAGCTTTACAGTCATGTAGCAAACTGTAGTTTCACGTGTAGCCAACTGTAGTTTAGTTACACACGTAGCAAACTATAATTATACATGTAGCAAACTGTAGTTACACATGTAGCGAACTGTAGCTATACAATGTAGCTAGTGTAGCAAACAGTTAACTGTAGTAACTGTTACACATGTAGCAAACTCTAGCTATACATGTAGTAAACTGTAGATACACGACATGTAGCCAACTGTAGCTTCACATGTACATTTAGCAAGACTTAGTGATGTTACACTGTAAATTTGTAGCCCTCAATTAGTAGCATTTGGAATGTCAGGACCTGAACCATATATAAGACCTGAAGATTATGTTTTTTTACATTCAGAAATATTAAACTCAACACATGCAGAAGTTTCTGACAATTAGAAACTCGTTATGCTATATACATGTTCAAGTTAGTTTACAAGTGAGATGGGTGATTATAGTGTATAATGTAGGTGTTGGACATTTTAAGGGAGTATGGTTTAAGTTTAATTTTTCTCTTTATTACTGTTAGAAATTAGATTACATGTAGCTAAATTGTTTATTGTTTGGTGTAGGTTCTTTATACCGTACCTGAAATATAAGATTTTAGAAACAAATGTTAGGGATACTTTTATGATTTGGTGAAAGAGAATTGGGTGTTATCAGTCTGGGATGTGATAAATAAGACCATATATGAATGTAACCCTGTACAGCATAGAAATATACACAGAAAGGAGTTTATGAATATTACCTAATTTTAAAAGCTGTTTTCAAAGGAGCTTACTGTTGCCAGCCTATGGCATACGGACATGAATGATTGCAATAAATTTGAGAAATGTTGAAAATTGTCAAATTTTTACATTATTTTCCTACTGTTAAAGAATCCTGAGCTCCTATTGGTAGTTTTGGATATAGTTCTCTCATGTTAGAGGTTTATGACCACTTGCTCTTGGGAAGGAGGCCCATTCAACCTTTGACAGCGAGAGTAGAGTAGCAGAGGTAGGAGCAAAACCCAAACATAACGGTGGAGGGAAGAAACTACCACTTCTGCATGGAAGGGATCGACGATTTGTCTTCTGGGTCTTCTCAAGACTAGAATTCACTGGATTTAATGTAACGTGTTACTCTAAGGTTTACTTAAATGCATGTATCTTCACCATGGCCAGTGTACCTAAACCTGTACTGTAACTACAGATGTTACAGTCAGATACACATCTCTAATGTGCCCGTATTTGACCTTGTTTTGAAGATTCTGAATCCAACTTTTGTGTTACATCCAGCATTACTCAGAAAATGGGTCTCACATGTGAGTTGTGTTGTCCAGTGGTCTCACGGTGGTGTATTTCCCATGTTCCCCTGCAGTACATCCCAGGCACAGCCGGCGTGCACAATCCCTACGTGCATCATTACCCACAACCCTCGGGGGTCATGCAGACTGTTCCAGTAGAGGTCAGTGTGCCCTTCAGTCTCTGTTTCAAGGTCATCAACTGAAGTTCCTAATTTTTATAAGAACATAGCTCATAATACTTAAAGGAGCAAATGAGACACAAACCTACGAATGTTGAATTTCTTAATTTCTTGCCCTTTGCTCTTTTACTTTTCCTGCTTTTTTTTCTGCATCGTTCTCTCTTTCAAGGTCATCAACTAAAGTTCCTAATTTTTATAAGAACAACATGTTACATGTACAAAATGTAGCTCATTATACTTAAAGGAGCAAATGAGATACAAACCTAAGAATATTCTTTATTGTCTCTGTCCTTCATTTCTTGCCCTTTGCTGTCTTCTTTTCTTGCTTTTCATTTCTCTTTCTTGTGTCCTCCCGCTCTTGTTCCGTGCCCCCCTCCCCCCTCAGCCCGTGTTGCAGGACAACAGGGCATCATCAGTACAGTGGGGCCACAGACTTCTCGTCAGTTCTGCTTGCTTTTCTCTTTCTCTGGCCTTTCTTTCTTTCTGCTTTGATTTCTAGCTCATAATAAGCAATTTCAAGGTTCCAACTGCACATGCATGGTGTGATGCATTGTGGTTGATATGTCAAAGTCTCACTAGAGCTTTTCTCACTAGAGCTTTTGACTAGTCACTCTGACCTTCCTCAGTAGACTGACCCAGTGAGACTTGTCACATGGCTTCTCTAAAGTGTGACGTCAACACTGGGTCAAAGAAACCACGTGACATGCCTCACTGGGTCAATCTACTTAGGAAGACCAGAGTGACCAGAGAGACCAAAGTGAGAAAACTTTATTGTATTGGATCTAAAGTTTACTTTAAACATACAAGAATTGGTGTTGAATGTTGATGTGATGATTATCATGATGATGATGATGCTGAAGATGATGATGATGGTACTGATGATACTGATCTCCCCTCCTCAGGACCAGTCTCAGCAGCAGCAGGGTCAGCAGGTGGGAGTGGCCGACGACCACGCCCAACATTACTCCTTCCAGCAGGGCAAGTGAGACAAGGTCAGACACAACTATCTATCTTTTATTTTATGTAGCAAGTGGCAGGACAGAGTTGGAGGGGCTGGTCACCTTGTGTATGAATGTGCTTGAGTAAGAATAAACAGGGCAGTAGTTTAAGATGCCTATAGTATTTTTGAGGGCATAGGGGAGGCAGAGCCCATCCCTCTCCTTCCACCGCCTTTTACCTCCCCAACCGAAGTCAGGTACCCATTTTACACCTGGGTGGAGAGAGGAAAGTCATGTTAAGTCGCGCTCTCCCAAGGACACAACGTCTAGCCTGGAATGCAAGGAATCAAACCTGCAACCTCTCGATTTCGTGTCTGCTTGCCTACCCACTGGACCTTGACTTGTTAAGTAGACTCAAATTAAATTAGTTTGTTGTTAGTTATGTTGATTTTGAACTACTGGTCTGTTCTGTTTAGAATTTAATACTGAAAATAAATATTAAACAGGACCTCTTTTTGTTGGTTGGTTGGTTGGTTGGTTGGTTGGTTGGTTGGTTGGTTGGTTGGTTGGTTGGTTGGTTGGTTGGTTGGTTGGTTGGTTGAATGTAGAAAACTTTAGTGCAGGCAATAAATGAATAAAGGAAATCAACTTAAGTTGAAGGATCAAGCGTTAGAATGATGATTTTCAAAACATAAACTTTATAAGAAATATTCTATGTCTGTTTCCTCTAACCATCTCAACCTTTGTTTCTTCCAGATGTCCTGCTCTAGTCTTAGCGGAGAAGACAAGACAAGTAACCTCAAGCCTTGAAGGACTCCAGACTTGTACAGTACGGATCTTAAAGACAGCACGTCTTGCCTGAACAAGACGTCAGAGATCTAAACTAGTTAGTAGAAGAGACAGGAAAATTCTTCAAACTTTTGTTTCCGTTGGTTCGCTCGGTTCCTTTTGATAAGACCAGAAATACAACTATTTTTTGTAAGAAGAAGTAAGAAGAGCATCGGGCTAGCGTAGCGTTCGTTCAACACCAACAAGTACTGGACCAGATTTCTGAGGAGGTCAAATTAGTTTATTTTGCTACCACAGAGAGCTTATTTTTAAATCTTGTCTCGTCAGAAATCTAACTTAAGAGAATCTTTATGAAGCAAGAGTCTTAAACAGTGTATACATACAAAAATAGGAGCCACAGCGGAGCGATTTTTTCCTCAGCTGTGATGAAGAAGAAAAATAACATGCAAGATCCTTGCCTGGTGAAGAAGGTTCAAGTTCAAGTGGTAACCTGATAGCGTCTTAAGGAGGTGAGCTGCTCCTCCAAGGTTAAGTCTGTAGTTAGTTAAGACACTTAAAATTTCTCGTTCCTTTGTCCTCGTGAGTTTTTATGAGGAGTTAGTAAGGTTACTCCATCAAAGACTATGCCACCAGGTTAGACTTAAGGAATTCGACTTTGAACGTCGAGGAATTTTTAGGTATAAAGTAGTGTAAATGTTTTTTCCGCGTTTTAATGGAGATTTTTAAATAAGGGCCAAATTATCTCCGCATAGTGATGAGACTTTTGAACTGAGATTATGAATTGTTCTTCTAGAGTTTTTTTATAGATGCAGATTTTCTTTTGTTTTCTTTTACTCCGTTTGCCGCTTTTGGCAAAAGAGAGGTTTAATTTTCAAAGGTTATTTTGGTGGAGATATGGCTAGTTTTCATTTCAGAGAGTCCAGAAATATGCATTTATTTTTAAATTGAAGTCTATGTTCCGATGCCTTAAGAATTGGGGCAAAAGTGTGGAGGAGATTTTATAAATTTTAGTTGTTCAACCTTGAACAAAAACTTTGGACTTTTGAGTGAAAACTGGCCAGATCTCCATGTAAATTTTTAGATAGAGTTGGTAGGTTTTTAATAGCTTCTGTAGCAGGCTTATAGAACTGGGGGTTTTGTGGTCTTCGGCTGTTTTCTGATTAGCCCACGGGAGTAATTCAACCAGGCCGGCTATGTTGTCTATATGCAATCAGAAAATAGCACATAAAAGACCCTGAAGACCCCCAGTTTTTGGCGTGCTATGGAGGCTAGATTTTTACGTTGTACTTGCCCTGAGCCTAAGTTGTTGGAGTTGTGTGTGTGTCTGTGTGTGTGTCTGTGAGTGTGGTATGTGATGTGGTTGGTAGGAGGTGTATATTTGCTGTGTGTACAGATTCGCAAGTTTTAGCGCCTTAAAAAGTCTCTGCAGTAGAACGGACGTGTGGAAGGAAGGAGGCATGAGCTTGTCTTAAGTTTCCCTCAAGGTTTCTCGAGAAAGACTTTTCCTTAATTTTAAGGGTCCTATCTTTGAAGTTCACTCTTGTTGTGTGATACTTTTACAACTATTCATCAAGAAAGTAATCATGCAAATCTCAAGACATTCTCTCCAAGTGTCCCTGAATATTCTCAAGAAAAACATTTTCTTAAATCTTAGCGCTATATTCTTATTTTGCGATACTTTTACTACAATCCCCACATTGCCCAAATAATGACAAAATTGACTTGAGAAAGAATTTCCTTTGCCCATATAAGGGCAAGACAGAAATCTCAGCACCCATATTAGGTATTGCCCATATTTGGCATATTTGGTATTGCCCATATTTGGTATTGCCTATATTTGACATTGCCCATATAAGGACAAAAACCAGAACTCCCATTGCCCATATTAGGGCAAAAGAAGGAAATCTCATCGCCCATATTTGGTATGTAACTCCATTGCTAGCCTGAGTCCAGGCTCCAAATAAGGCAAGCTCAGTTCTCCATCTAAACCTCACGGTCCAGAAACTTTGATGAAATATCAGGCAACACCAGAGGCTCCGTAGCCATGGAGACGCCATGGCAACAGTCGCCATGGCAACACACTGTGTCCTTTTTCTGTAGCAGCCAGGTCAGAGGTCAGGTAGACAGTGTGGGTTTGTTTATAAGGCGTGAGCACAGAGTGGGCCACAGCAATGCAGTTCACTGGTTCTCGAATCCCAGTTGTGGGGCTTGGCAGTATTAAATGAAGAAGAAACGAAAACAGGTATCCTGTGGTAGACACAAATGCTACCACAGGAGCCTCAAAGTCAAGGCAGCAGACAAGCAAATTGAATTTTTAATGAAAATCATATTTTAACAACTAGAAAGTTGTCATTTTGTTCAACTGTAGATACCAAAGGGTGAACAGTTGGCTTTTTTGATTCACACCCTAAATGGTAAGAAGCAAATTCAATTTTTAAATTTAAGGAAAATTCTTTAAACTAGAAAGTTGTAGTTATTTTCCTCACGTGTAGATACCAAAGGATTTTGAGAATTTGGACTTCTTGATTCGTACCGAAAATCAAGTCTTCTTTTTTGTTTCTTCAATTTTATAAACAAAAGGAAGCAGACAAATATGAGAACCAGTAAACTGCATTGCAGCGGCCTTGTAGATAAAAAATACACCGTTTTCCATTCCACGCAGTCGGTTGATGCAATGTTGTGGGGAAATATTACCTCTTTTTGCAAAGTTTGTTGCAGTAAGGCCACACCAATTTGATTTCTTGGTTAACGGATTTTTGAAGAAAAATAATGGAGCGGGCGGGCGAAAAAAATAAAAATAAAAACAGACCCAGGCATCCTATTATGGCCTAAAATGGTACAAAGGAGCCATGAAGTCAACATACCAGGCTGGTTCAAAATTTAAACAACTTTTAATGATATCACTGCATTGAAAGATGGAATAACTGTAACAACTAGGATGAAAAGGATTGTTTTCAACTGTTCAGGGCAAAATATGAGCATTTTGCACTTGATTCTGAATTTTTATTTTTATTTGCAAATCAGAAAAAAATTAAGCGGGCGAATCCGTTAACCAAGAAATTAAATTGGTGTGGCTGAAAGACGGACAAGAGACGATTCCTAAATATCGAAAAATAACAAAAGTGTTACATTTTTGTACAGTAAGAAAAAACTGGTGCAGTACGAATTAACCAATCAGGACGGCTGATTGGATCACATGATCAGTACTCAAATTGTTGTTTGCAATGTTCCATATAAAGAGATCAAATGTTAATTTATTTCCAGATAGTAGAAAAAATCGGAGAATCGTAGGATGGAATTTTTATGGATGTTGTACAGAAGGAGAAGAGATGGTGCTCAGATGTTTGGAGTCTGTATAGTTAGGAGACAAACAATGTAGTTTGTAGAAGTCTGTAGAATTAGCGGCACTGCCTTTTTGCACAGTGAAGAGTGGGGAAAAAAGAAAAGATTGTCGGCAAGTTTCAACTTTTTTTTCACATGTGGAGTGTCACACAGTTGTTTCCAGAAACAAACACTAGATGCTACTTCTATTAACATTTTTTCTACAAAGTTTTGTATATCTGTCACGCTGAAAACTGTGTTTGGGAGTAAAGAGACTCTTTCTACACAACCAAATCTTTTATTCAGCCAACGTTTCGGTGACCGTCTGTCACCTTTCTCAGGGCAATGTGAACCAGTCAGAATTGCCCTGAGGAAGGTGACAGACAGTCACCGAAACGTTGGCTAAATAAAAGACTTGGTTGTGTAGAGTCTCTTTACTCAGTGACCTACCAACCTGATGAAACTATTCATGTTTGAGAGATCCCTAGTGCAGCACCCCAAGTATGCATTGTTCAGATATACACGAGTGCATCATACTGGTGGATGTTGTATTAGAGATCTCTTTCAATGCATTTTTCAGGGTGGCGTATATATGTGACTTTGCAGAATTATGTTAGTAGATGTCGCACAAGTGTGCAGGTTTCAGAATTGTGAAGAGCTTGTCGATAGTTTCTGTATATAAAAGTGACTTCAGGTTGGGTAAAGCCCAAAGTGAGCTGCTGCAAATAACATGTTTGTGTTCTATTTTGTCCAAACGAAATTTTCCACCAAACTCTCAAAGTTCTTGCCGAAAAGTGTTACGTTTGATAGCAAGAGAGATCTCTCTTCTGTATCTAACGGAGTCTGTGATTGGGCGAATCAGCCCGTCGTCATGGTAACTGTTATGTAACGGAGTCTGTGATTGGGTAGAGTCAGCCCGTAGCCGTGGTAACTCAGAGATGACATACCTCCTAACGCTTTGCTCAGGTTTCGAGAAGAGACGACGAACGAACGTCTGTCCGCCTTGCCGTGTACAAAAGCAAATCTTAAAGACGTCTTGTACAGTGGGAAGATGAAGAAGAAAAGAGTCGAGAAAAATCCTTAGTTTGAAGGTTTAAGATGCTTCTTTTTTTGTCGCAGAATTTTACCTTGTAATAGACTAGTTAGTGTTGCTTGTCTGGCTTTGATCGAAGGCGACGTTTGGTCCACACAGTTTGTGCCATCGGAGGACGGACGAATGTCGGGAAAAAAAGAACAGGGTAAAAAAAAATAAGGACGATAAAAGCTTGCTGCTCCAGTCGAGCGTAGGTCAGGCTGCAGGTTGCTAGGATATGGTTGCTAGGATACGGTTGCTAGGATACGGTTGCCAGGATACGGAGGGTTGCAAGGACAACACCTTGTGCCATCCCAGTACAAAACCTCTTCAGACATTTGTAGTTTCCCTCAGATGTTTATAAACTTAAGGATATCTTGACTTTCTGATGGTCTTTCTGTTAGAACTGAAATGGTCTCCATCTTCTTTCTCTGAAAATCATTGAAAACTTACTAGCATGGCTGATATTCTCGGATAGTCCATCGAGTTTTTATCATGTATCATGCAGTGTGACTCTTCCTGTGGCTTGTTATGCGATTCATGACATGCAGGGTTACTGACACAAACTTCAGGCACTGTGTTGTGCTGCTACAGCCACCTTCACCATGGGTCCTCAGGGAAGGGCGACCATGTTAGGTGACCTTGCAGATATACATTAGGAAGGGCAAGATATCTTTGGTTTATAAACTCCTCTTTGTTACAGTGTTGGAACGACAGTGGAAGGGGGCAGAAGTAGGATTTTTAGTAAGAAAAGGGGGGACTGTTGCTGCTTAGCTTGCCGAGTGCCTAAAAACCTGGGCAAAAAAACATTTTCTTAAAGCGATACATGTTTTAACTACAAATGTAGCACTGATGGGGGCCACAGCAGTAAATTATGAACAGGGGTCTGTATCTGCTGGTTTTTTGTTTTCTTTACAAACTCGATACATGGCTGAAGCAGGAAACTGTTTGGTGATGCTAGGAACACTTTTCAGGTCTTCAACAAGTGCTTAGTTGTTCGATTCTACACTTTGTTTCTTTTAACAAAGTCGGCTGCAAAATTCCTCAAATGTTCCGATGTTATTTTTACTGTAGAACATGAATAAGGCTTTATATACTTTTGGAGAGGTTTGTGAATATGTAAGTGAAGGGAAGAGAATGTTTTGTCAGGTATTGAATTGAAGCCTTACTTCTGTGTTTAGCTAGAGTCCATACCATAGTGTGGACATGACAAAAACACTGCCACGAGAACAATGCTAGTCACTGTTCAAGCCATGCATATGCCTAACGAACACAAAAGTCGTTAACCGAAAACGATGATTTTCTGATTTGTAGAGCTCCTTATAGATATTTGAATGAATCAGCCAGTATGTATAGATTGTAATGAAAGCTCCACTGTGGTCATATGTAACATGGTGAAGGTTGACACACTGTTTTCACCAAAAGTGATACCAAATTTCAACTGAAGCTCCGGCCTTGTTCGTGAAAACTGACCCACACAACATCACATTTCTGTAAGGTCACATGACCACAAAAGGTCACGTGACCACAAGTCATTTGGTCAGTTTACTTGAAGAAGGCCCAAGTATTTGTTGGAGCTTACTGAGTACACGTTACATGTATGTTGGAAAGAGTGTTTCAACTTTGACCATGAATGAATTGTGTTTAATTCGACAACCAGGGAGAGAGAAGAAAACGAAAGTTGTTACCAAAAGTGCAGTACTGTAATGTTTCCTAATCTCCAAGCTAATGTTTAGGTGACAATCGGTGACAACCGAGTATCTTATATACAGTATCCTGTAGTATACAATAGGCCCAGAATATCTGCCACAGAACAGAAGGCCACAATGTGTCAGATTCAAAGTGTTGCACCTTTTCATTTTGTGGCAGATGTACTGGGGCCAATTCGATACAATCTTGCCTGTTGGATTCTCATACTGTCTCTGAAACATCAGCTTGGAGACTCAATGTTTCCAACTTTGGTTGTAATTGTTTGTAGCCAATATCTTGCCATGTAGGAACCTCCTGGTTCCCAGTTCACATCTTTCGTGCAGACTTTATGGAAAAATAAGGACTAAACTTAATCTGCCAACACTGGAACGAATTGGGACCTACCCGAAAGTTTATCTGTGTTGGTACAAGTCCAAAAGTCCAACTTTTGGGTACTAGTACGTCCCAATCCATTCCAGTGCTGGCAGACAAAGTTAAATCTTTATCTCATAATGACTTGTACATTGTACCAACACAGATGAACTTTTCATGCCATTCTTGCAAACGTTTGTCCTGTTACCTTCCTGTTATCTCTGGAACTGTAGCTGATGAGAAGTGCTGCAGCTGAAGACACCCCTCCTTTCTTATTTGTGGCTCTTAAAGTCTCTGTAAATAGTTCTTAAGAAGAAATTGCACCCTTTCCTCGGTCCCACTCCTCAAACCGTGTTAGATAGGTAGACTCCGTAGTGAAGATGACGTTTAGTAGAGGAGAGTGGGTCCCCTCGGGTGAACGATAGTTAAAAGTAGGATCTGCAGTAGGTTTAGCTAAGGTCTAGGGCCAAATGTTTCCTAAAGCAATGAAGAAGTAAAAAAAGATTTGGGGCAAATCTCGGATTTTGTGTGTCGTCTTTTTGTGCCTCTCTGTGTGCACTAGTATGAATTCTTACACACACTTGATTTATGTATGATATCAGTGAATGCATAATGATTGGTTGTTAATTTGTATCCACTAACAAGTTATCATTTGTGTGGTAGAATGTCATAAACAAATTTAGATATTTTCCAGAAAATGTCATTCATAAAATTTATTTTGTAGGGACACACACACACACACACATGGAGACACACATACACACCTACAGTTTTTCACTACAAAATGTTGTAAAAGAAAGCAAACAACCAGTGGATGATATAATACAGTGTATTGCAGTCTGCAGTATAAATACATGCCCAACCAGGGGTTATTAAATAGGATCACTTCAACTCTGAATCAAAGCCAGTACATACTAGTACCTCATAACAGAAAAATGTTTAGTATAATGCTTACAAGTAATACATTAGCACCAGGAGATTTTAAGAAATGGCTGATCCAGATCAGCAAACTTCTCAAGACTTGTCTGTTCTCAAAACAACATGAACAACCTATGAACCACTTACTACATTGGGGTCCTACACAATCACTGGTGAAGACATCAGGGATTATTACACAATGTATATACCTAGTAATTGTGACCATTTAAAAGATCATTTCCAAAATTTTACATTTTTTAAGTCCTTACAAACTTTTACGAGTTACGGCAAACTTTTCACATTTTCTGTTATGCTAGCTTCAGATCAACAGTACTTTCTCTTAGTCACTAGGCACTAGTCTATGAGTCCAATAGTCCTTCTGAATGTCTGCTTGGCAGTGCGTGAGAAGTTTACTTGGCAAATCGAGGGTTAAAAAGTCCACTAGTCCTTGTCTATGAGTCCGATGGTGCTTCTTGTGTCAGCCTCTACATCCGAGTTGCTGCTGTAGTGACTCAGGTTGGTGTGGGAGGACAGGTGTTTGGGCAGGTCCACACCTGGTGTGTTTACCTGGTACAGGTGAGAGCCGGGCTCGCTCAGCGCACTCATGGTAATGGTCCTGTGGAAAGGGAAAGTGATAAGGGAAAGTGTTGGTGTGTCAGGACAGGTGTTTGGGCAGCCTACAGTACAGACCCACCCTACACACCCACCCTACTGACCCACCTGACAGGATAGCTGTACTTGACTCTCCTGAGACACAGCCGGTACACCAGCCCCAGTATTACACCCACTCTACAGACCCACCCTACACAACAACCCTACAGACCCACCCTACAGACCCATGTAGACCCACCTGACAGGATAGCTGTACTTGATTCTCCGCAGACATAGCCTGTACACCAGCCCCAGTATTACACCCACTCTACAGACCCACCCTACAGACCCACCCTACAGACCCATGTAGACCCACCTGACAGGATAGCTGTACTTGACTCTGCGGAGACAGAGCCTGTACACCAGCCCCAGCACTACCAGATTAGCCAGGAACACCGTGACGGAACTGCCGATGATCAGCGGCGTGTAGTTCTTCTGTTCAACCCGCGCAGACGGATACAGGCGCTGGGAACAGAAATTACGACTTGTCAGTGGACTAGATCCCTTGCTGTAGCAAAGTTGTGTGGCCCAAGGGCCTTTGAAACGGAGATGGGCGCCGTCCTACGTACTGTCCGGTGCTGGAACTTCTTTGACTTTGTCATTCTGAGGCAATATTGCTTTACGGATTTGATATGGAATGGTGAGGTTGCTTGGAGAAAGGCCAAGCAATCTCGCCGAAATCCACAATTTTATCAATGCCACAATTCAACCTGAGAAATGAATATGAATAGTTACAAATGTCGTCCAAAATTAAATGAAACCAATGATCTACAGGCAGTAGGCCTTTCTTGCCATCATCCTTAGCTACAGTGGGGAAGACGCCTTGCCGTGATACCTCGGTGGCAGTGTCGGGCAACAAAATCTATGATGTTATCAATGTTATTGTGAACATGCATTTGAAGATTCATTATTATGTTAATCGTTAATGCCACAATTATAGATAGACCTACAGGGAGGGACCCTTTCTTGCCCTCAGCCTTAGCTAGAGTGGGGAAGCTGCCTTGCCGTGATACCTCAGTGGCGGTGTCGGGGCGGCGGCTGGGCAGCGGCGGGAAACTCGCTGACGGAACGCAGTCGTCATCGGCTATCAACTCACTCAGCTCCAGGTCGTCAAGGTAACGCCCTGGAAATTTGATACTGTTTTTATTGAAATTGCAACAGTGCCATACTCGTGAGACACAGGCAGCTGTTGCTGTGTCCCACCATATAAACAAGTACAGGACAGACAAAACTCATTTTCACTTGAGTTAAGTGGGGAAAGTCGTGTAAAGTGCCTTTCCCAAGCCCTGGAAATGTGGCTATTTACATCAGGGCCCATCACCCTTCACTCAACTGCGATGGGAGCCGACATCGTCTTCCAGATACCTTTGACCCAGTGTTGACGTCACACTTGGCTTGAAGAAGCCACGTGACAAGTCTCACTGGGTCAGTCTACTGAGGAAGACCAGAGTGACTGGTCGAAAGCTCTAGGTGAGAAAACTTTTTGTGTTGGATCATAAGTTTTAACTCTAAACACGAATAAAATAAGGGTAAAAACCTTTGAATTTTGCTGGCTGCTGACAGAGGATGTGTAGCCCCACGGTGATCACGTCCATGAGCTGAACTTTTTTTGTTGAGAGAACTTTTTTGTGTTGGATCAAAAGTTTTAACTCGAAACATGAATAAAATAAGGGTAAAAACCTTTAAACTTGACAGGCTGCTGACAGAGGATGTGTAGTCCCACGGTGATCACGTCCATGAGTTGCCACAGCCGGACCATCTCACACCCGCATGTCCACGGGTTTCCTGCCACGTGTACGCTGTTTAGAGACTCCATCGGCAGGATGGCCTTGAGAGAAAAGCAGTAAGGCCAACCACGTTACTTTTCAATCTTTCCTTAACTATACGTCGGCGAGGGTTAGACATCCAGGTAATCAGATGAGGTAAGATGAGGTAAGATAAGCAAAAAAAAACAGTTACTCAAGCAACTGGATATGCTTTTGGAAACGGCCAGACGTTTCAGGTAACATCCACTACCTTTCATCAGTCTCTTTTAAGTTTCCTAACCTATGTAACCCTCTTTCATACGGTAGAATGTTCTATAGCTACAAGAAGGGGAAATCTGCAGAAGCATCGTGGCAAATGGGGTACTTTATGTTCTTGAGTGTTTTTTTTTTTTGCTCATTTTCAACGTTATGATTTGAATTGCTATGATTGTTGTTATGATTTGTTATGATTCAAATTATTGTATAATGGATGGTTCAGTGTATGTACTTTAGATTTATAATTAAAAAAAGGATTACCTTGTCGCTGATGCTCGTCAGCCTGTTGTTGATCAACCCGAGAGTTTCCAGCTTCACCAGCCCAAAGAAGACGTCAGGATCTACTTGCTGAAGGTTGTTGTAGTTTAGGTTGAGTTCCTTAAGCTTGCTGAGCGTCTTAAAGGTGAAAGGTTCGATGAAGGTGAGGTGGTTGTGGTCAAGATCAAGTTGAATGAGGTCAGAGCAAGGTCGAAGGACTTCTCCACCTAATGTTGTCAAGTTGTTGTCGCTAAGGTACAAGTTTCTTAAACTGTTCAACCCGAAGAACGCGTAGTCTTCAAGATTCTGTAAGTCGTTAGCTCTCACGTCTAAGGAGTAGAGTCCTCGAAGATCTTGGAAGGAGTAGCCTTGTAATGTCTTGAGACTGTTTTCCTTGATCTCAAGATATCTTAAATTCCCAAGATGCCGAAAAGGGCGTGTTGAGACGTTTACTAGATTCTCGCTGACGTAGAGATGTTCTAAGTTGTATAAGCCTTGAAAAACTTCCGGGAAAATGTCCACGAGTTTGTTGGTCTTCAGGTTCAAGCTCTTTAACAGGTAGAGACCCTGGAAAATGGAGCCGCGAAGGGTCGTCATGTTGTTGTTGTTGACTTTCAGCGACCTGAAAGAAACGAGAGAGATAAAGTTCTGAAGACCATGGCGGTCATTAGATGAAAAATATATCATTTACGGCGCGGTGACTTCATCGAAAGGTCCCCTTCCAACATTATGCCGTGGAAATTTCAAGCAGACTTACTATGGATCTAAAGACAGCCTTAACCGTAACAAGACATTTGCAGGACACCTGCACTACTATCCCAAGGCAGTTACTTTGCGATCGTGCGACATAGGTGACCGGTACCTAGATGTGTCATAGACATAGACTAATGATAGACTGAAATCGAGATGCAAGCTTGAAGTTTGTTTGTTACTTTGCTTCTCCGTCTATTTGCTTGTTAGCTACGAACCTGAGGTTGATTAATCGATCTAGTGGTTGATCGGTCAATCGATTAATTGATTGATTGATTTCCCTACCTGATGTTGTTTAGTCCCATTAAGATAGATCGAAACTGAGAGGCAGACCTAAAGGTTTTTTGTGGATCTTTGTCTGCTATTGGCCCGCAGTTTCAGTGCTCGATTTGTCAATCGATTTATTTATTGATCTATTGGTTGATCGATCTATTGATTTCCCGACCTGAGGTTGTTGAGTCCCATGAAGGCTCCCTCCTCCATGTTCTTGATGAAGCTGTTGGAGAGGTCCAAGTTGGTCAGCTCGGTGTAGTTGAGAAAGGCTCGGGCGGGAACTAGCGTCAGGTTGTTCCCGTCTAGATACAGCCTCTGCATGCCCGACGGAGGGATGCCCTGGAAGAGCGAAGGAAAAGCACCATCCGTTGGCAGGAAATCTTAGATGCGTTGGTAGGTAACTTTTGATCTTGTTCCAAGAAAAAAATGCATTATCTCTTTGCACGAACTCCCAGTTGGGTTGGTAAGTTATTGCGATCAAAGTCTGAACTTTTGGTCCAAGAAAACGCTCAAGGTTCCCAGCCACAGCTTTAGTCTTCCTTTACTGGTAATGATTAATAATGTTGCACGGACCATCACAACTAAAGGAAAAGCAAATCGGCTGTCCAAAATGCTTCTCTTCCTTTTCTTATTTCTTTTGGCTAACTGTCTCCCACCTGTCTAATATCACAGAGGAATGGGGATAACGTCCAGAGATGATGCCCGGTCTATGGCTAGGTAACGTACCTTTGGAACTGCCTTTAGTCGGCGGTTGCTGCAGAAGACGGTGCCTGGGAAACAGTTACACGCCTGTGGACAGGCAGCGCGCCTGTCTGCACCGGACAGCCCTGACAGGCACGTCAGCATCAGGACCACTGCCGACCAGCGGAAGGCGCAACATAACGTCATGGTGTTCTCTATCGTTCTCTACCCTGTATGGAAGATACATACATGTTATCATCAGGTGATATTCAAGCAGATGCGATCTAAAACGTTTGTCCATCTATCTAGCCGTCCATTTATGGCAATTTATCCCTCTACTGTTTTTCTAGCTATTCATCCATCTATCCATCCATTTATAATTTGTCGTTTTTCTGTGGATATCGCTAGATATTCACAATACGGACATCTTCAAAGCTTCAAAACGCCAAGACTTAGTGGTGTACAACGTTAACTACACTGCACTGGACAACCCACAGAGCGTGGCCAGAGATGCTCATAAAATGAAGATGAAGAGCAGGCCAAACTGGAAGTCTGTGGTCACTGCCTCTCCAAAGACCCCACTCTACTCAGATGTGGGTGAACACAGAATGGGGGATGACTTTGACTTTATTGGGATCCCTTTCCATTTGCTTGGACATTGAAAGCGACCAAAGTAGGAAACGTTGTTGGATGTGCCTCTATCTCCACGTGGCTGCCTCACATTGTGAAGCTGTGGATGGAGAAACCTCAGACACGCAGCAGACACGATAAGATACTAAGTAAAGTAATAACCACTGGCGCGTGTCTGGAGATTGGCAAGTGATTACAGCAAGGGACTTTTAAACTCGCAATAGGAACACTGCCAGGGTGCAAAAGTTCATCAATAGGACAAACTGTCCAGTTTGAGACCACTCACTCGCTCGCTCACTCACTCAGTCCTCTTGCAAGGAGTGGTAGAGCCTCGTCTAAAATCAATTCTAGAACTCCTCCAGTCGAGGTCTTTGAACTCCTTATTTAAACCGGGCCGATCAACGCCGAATGTGAAAGGGATTCAATCTCTTTCTCGGGCGCATTGACATGTCAGGCCCGTCGTGACTGTCCGGAGTGTCTGGGGCAAAAGGAGGACCATGGATATAGATATACAAAACTGAAGCTTTCAGCGCCGCACAAACTTTTCTCTGTCGGACGACAGAATCGCGTCTTGACCAAGTTACCATAGCGACTGCCGCTCGCTTTACGCCTTCCGTAAGTAAACAAGGAGCCGGTATAGGAATCAGAGGTTAGATTGTGGGGAACCACAATGGCGGGCTTTCTTATATACACAGCCTTTTTGAGAAAAGGTGGTTGGGAGACCAGTGTCAAGGTTTCAGGTTCCGAGCATTTAGGTAAATATGAATTTCTCATGGATGCAATGCAGTTTTGGGCACAACGTTAGAATGCGTATGTACACAAGAAAAGACATTATTTCCAACATTTAAGCCATGAGCTTTCAGACGGTCTTAAGAGGGGAGGGGTGAGGGCTGCGTTAAGGTTTCTTAAGTTTTCGAAGCTGGTTAAGCTTTATCTTAGGATTTGGCTTAGATTTTCGGTTTTGAGTAAGGTAGATTCATGTACATTGACAGAACTCAAAACTATACCCTCTCGTCTTTGTAACTGCACCGGATGTGATGCAACTTTGTTGAAAGATTTTGTTTCCTTTTCAGTGACAAAAGTACAAATGAAAATTTACTCATTCCTCAAATGCAAACTTACATTTAAAGAGCTTCAAGTCAATATGGATCTCAATGAGAAACCTACGTGTACCCGTTCATTTTCTTCTCTAGTCTACAGGATATGCCTTAAAGTACCCGTTGTCGTAAACTGTAAAAGTTATCAAGTCCGTTTAACCCAAACCCGTCCAGCTGTCGGCGATCGTCCCTGTCTGAGGCCGTGGGAAATTTTCCTCCGCTCGGTCCTGTGTTTATCTCAGACGGACCTCTGGCATTCCTCAAACACTGGTGTATATCCGAACACTGTCACTACAATCACTACTATCTGTAACGTCTTCTCAGTGGAAACTCTGTAACTTCCTGCACTACACTGCATTAGTTCAACTTCTAATGATATCACGGCGATTATAGTTTGGCGCCGAAGTTATGGTCCACAGCAACACGACTTAAGCTTTATAACGCTAGTAATTTCACCGATCATTGTAAGTCATCTCATACTGTACTTTTATAAGGTACTTTGTTGTTATTTAGCAGTGGATGCCATGCGTTGTACCTTGTACACTTGCTGTGCAGTTTACGGATATCTAGTATTTAATACTGGTCGAGTCTACCCAATTCGAGATTTGACAGTAGTATTTACGTTTTGAGCTGAATTTGGTCAGCCTAGACACGAGAATTCGTTATCATGAGATACAACGGAAGGCTCTTCCTTTCATTGTTTCAAACGACCCGTAGGGTTGGTTATAGATGATTTAGATGTTCGACATGTATGTCAACTGCAATAGAGGCACGGGTACACATACATGTATACAGAAGGCGCAATCGCATTCGTTGAAGGAAGTCGTGGGATTTTGATGATGTAGACTTTTCAGGTAGGCTATGACAGAACCAACCACCAACAAGGATCATGGACAGGCTTTTTCATATAACTATTTTGCAGGACACGTGCATGGCAGCGTCAGAAATGCATCAGTTTGAGTTCGTATGACGATCGCATGATGCATGTAACTGTGCCTTAAGAGCCATACCTTAAATGTACAGGTATAGGACAGAACAATCCAGTCTTACCTTTATTGTAGACGGCCACAGTGAGCTTGTAAGGTTATCCCTGTAAGTTTGTATCTGCATAAGGACGTGCCAGGCGCCCCGCCCGCCGCTCGTTCGACTCTCGGATGTTTTTGTGCTCGGGTTTGGCCCCGTTCTTTTCCACTTCCGGGAAGTGTGGACCGGGCGATAGGCGACAGGGAGACGGGCTGACATCATGGTGCTGGCAGCGGGAGATAGTATTGGGGAGATAGTCTATGCTCCAGCCTCCGGATAGAGGGGTAATACATAGCCTCTCAACAGGCTCCGGACGGAGGTCAGATAGCCTTAAGTTTATGATTCATCTCTTCATAACCACTTCATCTCATGACAGCCTCCAAGCAGGCTCCAGGCAGAGGCTGTTACAGCAGGCGACAAGGAGACGGCCTGGCATCATAGAGCCTGGGCTGGGAGATAGTAGGGGTGGATAGTCTATACAGCAGGCTCCATGCTGGGGGTACTGTACAAGGCTCCAAGCTGAGGGTAGTGGGGCTAGGTAGCCTCTTATCAGGTTACGAACTGAGGATACTGTTTTGTTTTTACGGTCATCGCCTAAAATGACGAGAAAACATCACCATTTAGAGACTGATCTAGATTAACTCCTGATACTAGTCACTATCGTACACAAAGTTGGAAATTTTCATATTCATTATTCATCCAGGTCCTAGCCCTATAGGGGAGACTTCCTGCTGAAGATTGGACGTTCTGAAGATTAGAGCGGGAGTTGCCCGGACGACTGAACTCTTGTTCTGACTTGTAGCGTGATCGGACGCTGGTTAAGGTAAGGTTACCAAGGCTGTTTGTTGCTATAAAAGGCACGTGCACACTACAAGCGGAAACCTTTGCCGAGCTGTATATCCAGTGCGCTGTCACACAACTTTATAACGCTAGAAATTCTACCGATCATTGTAAAAGCAAATTCGATTCTCATCCCATACTACGTAGTCTTGTATAAGGTAAAGTAGAGTAATATGTACATGTATGCTGTAATGTTATATGTAGTAGATGCCACACGTTGTCCCTTGATCTGACACTGTTAAAGGTGAGGTTACCAAGGACGTCGGCTGCTATAAAAGGCACGTCCGCACTACAAACGGAAACCTTTGCCGGGCCAGCATATAGTTTCCTCTACAGACCGGCGTCCTTGTAGAGGAAGTCACGGGTCGACGGGAAGTTTCTAGAAGGCCCGAAAGTTCGTAAACTTTCACCAAGGCCAAGGCCGTACGACAAACGAAGGAGTCATGAAAATCCATGGAAGACTTTTTGAGTTTTAAACAGTTATCGGTTCTTTTTTTGATGAATGAACTTTTGTTTGAGAAAGAAACAGTACACGATCTTTTTCTGTATACATGTACTGTTTGCAATGCATCCAGCCAACGCCAGCGAAGGCGTATTGCCAATCTTAAATGTAAGGCACTCCTCAAATCAGCGATAAACAGCATAGTGTTAGAACTATTGTAGAATGGAACTCACTGCCCAAAAGTACAGAAGGGGCATCCTCACTAGACAGCTTTGAACAACGCTTACAGCTTAATGTGCTTAGGCTAGATGTAACAGGCCGTTCGGTGTTATATAGCCAGCTGCTGATGCGCCGCGTGCCTGCGAAACTGGTGTGTTGTGCAGAAAAGAGGTTATATCGGCTATACAGATAGTTAGATACAGAAGCTTTTTGTGTTACACCGAGGCGCCGTTATATTTGCTATACAGATAGATCTTGTAACGTTATAGCATTTCTGAAAAGACTTTAAGATGAAGCCGCTTCCCTTTGTTCTCTGTGGCAAGGCCATCTGCTCTGCCAGGGGACATCCGTCAACAATATCAGTGTCAGAGAAAACAAGAGACCGCTTCCTCTTTCAAGGGTGGCCAAATATCCGCAAGCCCTTTGAGAGAGCCATAACAAGTCTTATTTCGTTTCAAAGGGTCAAAAACCTCACTGTTACAGCCAAAACTTGCAGCAGAAATGGTTAGGACGCTGCAGATATTGCTTTGACCGCTAGATGTCCCCATTTACACGCACGTAGACTCAGCTCTTGCTAAAGGACAGGCAATCAGCACCAAGGACATGGACAGTTTTCGTCTTTTTCGGACCCTCCTTTCGCTTTGAATACATATTAATCTTGTGTAAAGGATGTTTCTCTCTCTCATTTTATCTTTTGTTTGGATCCATCTTGCAAATTTCTTTGAAATGTACACTTTACGACAACGATTTGTATAGTTTTTATCTTCTTTCGACGTGCATTTATTCTTACTTGTCGTGTATGACGGTACCGTACCACAAGTCTTGTGCATTGGATATAGGAGTGCATCAAAATGAATATAATTGCCCAATCTAAGAAAGTTTCATATTTAGAATGATTAACGTTTCTTAACCATATCCATGAACAGTATTCGAATTTTAGATCAGCTTATGCAAATATCAGTGTCTTTCAAGGCCCAAGACATGAATCGAGAAACAGTTAGTTTATTGTTGCGTTTGGCTGCGTTCGCTAGAAAATGGCGGGATATCCGAACTCGGAACGTCCCAACATTGTCGTCTGCAGCCACTGACTAGTTTCCCTCAGAAATTACCAGTTCACACAACTGAAGCAGTTTACTCCTCATAATTTCCACAGGTAAGGAGAAAACTACGAATTTTGAGTAACTTTTAGCTGTATTCTTCAAGGGAATTTACTTTGCTTTGTATTTTATGTTAGGTGGAGTGGGGGGGGGGGCGAAACAGTGTTGCAGTCTATTACACTACACAAAGCCTTACTAGTAACGTTATATTTTAAGACTGCATACAAGTAAGAGAAGTCATGCAGTAGTCGCTTCATGAGAGCGTAGTGGGCAGGTATGTCTCTATTTTGTTTTTTATCTTCTGTTCTTGGTTGAATTTTTCATCTTCAAATCGCAAAAGACATTTGAAAACAAACTGAAACGTCCACCGAGTTGTCGGGCGTTGAGCAACCGTTGAATTTTGAGGGAGGGGGGCGTGTTGACAAACTCAGTGTTAAAAATAAAACGTCGTCTTCAAAATCTTCTGATGTGGATTTTTCCGTGATGCTAAACTGTCTTTATATGGTTGATATTTCTGAAACACAGATCAAGTCCTAAGAAATATTCTTCTGTGGCAATGCACAGTAATATAGTGTTGCTAGACGGTATCCTCTTAGCAGCAACCAAAGATTTGATTATTTCTGTAACAGGTGTTTAAGTCCAAGATGTCCAGTCTTACAGTGCTCCTGGACTGCATTCAGACCCAGAAAGACTTTCCCAGGCAAATCCTAAGTGACCAAAAATTGTGTTCTGAATAGTTCTGTAACAGGTGTTCCTAAGAGTAAGAAGTATTCCAAGATGTCTTCCGAGGCCCTGTCCAGTCTTACAGTTCTCCTGGACTGCATTAAGACCCAGAAAGACTGTCCCCAGGCACAGAAACAGGCTCTAGTGGCACTGGCTCACCTCTGTATGGAGAATGGTAGGTAGAACAAATACCTCTCAACACTCATCACAATATGGGACTAGCTACTGTATAGAATAGGAATAGGAGAAACTAACATGATAAAGTGAAGTACTGCATAGAATTGAATTTATTCTTCTTGCTACAGATGATAAAGTAATGGCAAAGGTTTGTTCAACAATAAAACATGATAGGAAGATGAATTACTCTTTGTTGTGTCCCTAAAACCATTTGCTCAAAACATGTTCTGGAAAAAAACATTGTCATATACTTCAGAAAGTTACAACAAAGTGGTATTCCTTTACTGTCTTGTTTAAGACTTCAACATGGACAAATTCTATACTCCAGACCAGTGTAACTGTACTATCCTGATTACATACAGAAGTCTTTAGAAGCCAGATGATTTCACGGTTGCATGTTGTATTCTATGTTAGGAGATAGCCCTGTTTTGGCATCCTATTCATTTAACATGGAAAAAGATAAATACAGTTCATATCTGCATGTTTTGTAATTGGGAATGTTATATTTACTTTAAGGAGCAGCATGCGAGAGACTTGAGGAGAAGGGAGGTTTGATGTCGGTCCTGCATCTCGCTGTGTTCACAAAAAACCTGGAGGTGCAACAGGCTGCTTTATACACACTCAGTTGTGCTGCACAGATTAACAGTAAGTGAGACACACATACTTGTATTGCAGCATTTGTTTGCTCACTTCAGTCCAGTCCCATGTTATATATTAGTGCATTCTTGTTTATTCTAGTGGGGTTGTGTGGCGTAGTGGCAGAGTGCTCGACTCGGAACCTAGAGGTCCCGGGTTCGAGTCCTGACATGCCACCAATCTTGTGCCCTTGGGAGAGGCACTTTACACGACTTTCCTCACTTCGCTCAGGTGAAAATGAGTATTGTCCCCTGTGTTGGTGGCGGCATCAATATAAGTTTGAAAAACTTGAGTGTGCCGTCACCACGTCTTGTGATTACATGTTGGAATTCAAATTATTATTTTTTTAAATATATATATTAGTGCACAACAGAAATTACAGTTACGGTATGTCAATGAAAGTTAGGCATCCAGGTAATAAGATATGCCAAAAAACAGTTACTCAAGCAACTGGATATGATTTTGGAATGGTCAGACGTTTCATAGGGCATCCACTACTTTTTGTCTGTGACACCTGCACTCTCCAGTATCACAGACGAAAGGTAGTGGTTTCTACCTAAAATGTATGACTGTTTCCAAAATCGTATCCAGTTGCTTGAGTATTCTTGTTTTTTTTGGCATACTTTTTGTTACCCAACCAAAATATTTAGCTACACCAGTGCATCATGAATTAGATGTACCTCTTCGATTTCATACCAACCCTGTCTTTGTCAGACTATTTTTGATCCATATGTTTCCCCATACAGGAGGTTGCCAGAGTAAGCTGTGTATCCCCCAAGTCTTCAGCTTCCTGCAGTCCAAACTGTCAGACCAGCTCAGCGCTCCTGAGGTGAAGAGAACAGCAGCCTTCCTGGCAAACTGTCTCACCTCTAACAACAGTAAGAACCTTTCTTTAGCCTGACTACAACATCCTGAGATCCTACTGCACTGTTTTTCATTGTGATAAGGAATCCTTAGCAGATAAGCTATCGGTAGTTCTGGGAATGTCTCGCCTCTAACAACAGTAAGCACCTTTCTTTCAGTTGTGCTTTTCTTGGAATTAATTTTTCAGTTACAGATTCTGAAGTAAAAAAAAAAATTACCCTGTTGTCGTAACAAGGAAAACATCACCCTCCCATTTTTAGGGAAAATAGGCACTTGTCATATATGTGCAGTAAGTCCTTTCAGATGTGCTACAAATTGTACTCTTTTGATGGATAATCTTTAAATATTTTCCAAAGTATAGCTAAAATGACTTGCATCAAGCAAAAACACTCGACTTGAAGAATGATTGGATGAATGATTAAATGAACAAACGGATAAACATACAATAATTGTATTTCAGGAGAAGGCCAGAGACTGGCAAGAGAAAGAAGGTGCATGGTGACCATGATCCAGCTCTTCCTGTAAGTAACAACTCAGGATACATGTAGATTGAAAAAAAATCTCACCATAGTTTGAAAGAATGTCAAGATGGTTTGAAAGGATCTAAAGATGCTTAAAAAGATGACTACATACTTATAAAAAGATTTCAATATTCTTTTAAAAGATCCCAACAAGATACTTTGGAAAGATCTCAAGATGTTTTGAAAGGATCTCTTGAAAGAGAAAAAATCTCAAGATGTTTTGAAAAGATGCCTTGAAGAAATATCAAGATGGTATTAAAAGAGGCTTTGAAAAAATCTCAAGATGTTTTGAAAAGATGCTTTGAAAAAATCTCAAGATGTTTTGAAGAGATGCTTTCCAAAAAAAATCTCAAGATGTTTTAAAAAGATGCCTTGAAAAAATCTCAAGATGTTTTGAAAGAGATGTGTTGAAAAAATCTCAAGATGTTTCGAAAAGATGCTTTAAAAAATCTCAAGATGTTTTGAAAAGATGCCTTGAAAAGATCTCAAGATGTTTTGAAAAGATGCTTTGAAAAAAATCTCAAGATGTTTTGAAAAGATGCCTTGAAAAAATCTTAAGATCTTCCGAAAGGATGCCTGGAAAAGATCTCAAGATCTTTTGAAAAGGTGCCTTGAAAAAAATCTCAAGATGTTTTTAAAACATGTTTTGAAAAAATCTCAAGATGTTTTAAAAAGATTCCATGAAAAAAATCTCAAGATGTTTTTAAAAGATGTTTTCAAAAAATCTCAAGATCTTTTGAAAGGATGATTTGAAAAAATCTCCAGATGTTTTGAAAAGATGCCTTGAAAAGAATCTCAGATGTTTTGAAAAGTATTTTAGAAAGATGTTTGAAAAAATCTCAAGATGTTTTGAAAGGCTGCCTTGAAAAAATCTCAAGATGTTTTGAAAAAAGTTTTTTTGGAAATATCTCAAGATGCTTTGAAGTGATTCTAAGATACTTTAAAAAATCCCAAGATATTTTTAAACAATCTCAATATATTTGAAAAAGGTCTTAGAGGCTTTGTAAAGGTGTTTGTTTGTTTATTTGTTTCCTGCGCAGGTCTTCGCTCCCCCTGACTTATGCCACCAACCCCGCTGGCCAGAGTCAGTTGGACAGTCCACAGGACCAGGCCTTCGAGCTGTGGACAGCTGTCACCAACGGGCTGGCTGCATGTGTCAACAATCCACAGAATGGTGGGTAGTGCATTTTGTAACAGGTAAAAAGATTGCCATTGGATGTCTAAGCCAACAAAAGCTAACACATAGGAAGGTACACAAACGTTTGAGAAGAAGAGATGGTCAGGATAGAGAGATTTGGGACAATTTTTAAGATGCTTTTTTGCAATCTAAAATTGCAAATGTACAGACAAACAGTAGTACAGAATGACTCACAAATAATAATAAGAACACATTGACCTGACATTTTTTATATTTTTAATTTCAATCACAATCCCTGATTAAGAATAGAAATCACTGCTGAATTAAGCATTAGAAAGAAGTTCTCAAAGTTTGGGCAAGTAGATCTGTACTTAAGTTGCAAAGTGTACAACTGTGAAGTGACTAATGCCTGGATGAAGATAATTAGTTTCTTCATTCCTGTGTTACATGTACATATGTGTAGTGATTGTTGTACTTTGCAGTCAGGAAAAATTGAAAATTTTCCCCTGTACTCCCATTCCTTGCTCCAGAAGAGAATCAGTTCCTGTGTTCGGGCACGTTTGCTCCTGTAGTGAAGCTGCTGAATGATGGCTGCATCAGCCCGGCTGTACGCCCCATATGTTACTACCTGGGCATGGTCATATCTAACAACAGTAAGGACACTTCCTCACCATTCTTTATTCTTCTATCTATCATGAAATATGTACAGTCAATGTGATACAATGGTATAATGACAACAATGAGTTTTGATAACAATCCACCCTTCTTGATAACAATGACACCATGGTAACTGGTGCTGGTAGCAGACACCCTTTGGTGTTGGATTACATTATGTAGCAAGTGGCAGGACAGAGTTGGAGGGGTTGGTAACCGTGTGTGTATGTGTTTGAGAACGAATTTCAAGTTTCAAGTTTCAAAAATAAGTTCTGTTAGGCTAGACCACATTAAGGTAAACATTATGCATTTACTTTGCAACCTTTCCAGTTCATTCATTCAGTCTTTGCTTCAGAGCGATCCCAGAAGCGTTGGCTGTCAGTGGGAGGTTTGCAGGCACTGATGGCAGTTCTGCAGCGGACGGTCCATCAGGCACACGAGGACCCCACAGCCGTGCCCTTAGCTGTGCAAGTGGCTGTTACCATCGACTCATGTGTGGCTAATAATGGTAACTGGGACATTTCTATGATCTATTTAATGTCCAAATAGAGGTTAGCATCCAAGTGAGGAGGTGCGCAAAAACCAGTTGCTTAGTTTCTTAGGTCATTGTCTTCAAACTCTATCCAGTTCCTTGGATAACTGTTTTCTTGTGTATATTCAGTTTTGTTGGAAAATGTTCTAGTGCAACATGTCAGCTTAAAACATTTCTGGTAATATCTGTCACTTCATTTAGATGAAGGCACTTCACTCTTGTTTTGGAATGATAAACATTTAGTTCCTACTAAGATGGTGTGGTAACAGTCATCCTCAGGATCATGAATTTTCTGTAACCAGCAATTCAGCACCAAGGACAGGGACACTGTGTGCAAAATGGTATTTTGTTTGGAAAGCATTTGATTGTCTGCTATTGTTTGCTTCTTTGCTAAACTTGTGGTCTTCAAGTGTTCTACTTTGTACATACTGTCAACCTCTCCTCATTCCTGTTTGTTTGTTTGTTTGTTTGTTTCTTTGTTTGTTTGTTTGTTTAGCCCGGGGTCTGCAAGAGCTTCACCAGCTAAAGGCAGTCCCCCTGATGGTGCAGCTTCTGTCCCTGAATCTACAGGATCCACAGCTTCAGCTACAAGTGCTGCTCACCATCCTGCACCTCACAGAGATGAATAGTATGTACCTGAAGAAGTCTTTATTTGTATAGCCAGTATAACTGCCCTTCAGTAGCTGTACAGCTTATTCTTTGGCATAGCACAGCTAACCTTTGCACATCTAACTGTAAGTAAGTATTGTTTAAAGCTAACTGGTAAGGATGCCCCTACTGTACTTGGTAGTAATGAGTTCTACTCTACAAGTTGGGTTAAAGTATGGGGAACTGTTACCTTGGCTCAAATGATCTCTAGCTCAAAAAAAAAAGTTGTAAGCATGAGTGTTAAATGAAATAAGACTGTTATTCTGTTTATTTCTGCTTGTTTGTTGCTGTAGAAGATATCCAGCATCAGCTAATTTCAGCGGGAGGTCTCTCGGTTGTGCTACACAGTATGGCGAGGAACCAGAGTGCAGAGTACAACAAAGCTGCAACTTACCTGCTCAAGACTTGTGTACATCTTGGTAGGTGCACAGTATTTAGTCAGACAAACTCTATATGTCATTGGAAGTATTGTTTAGTGTGTGTGCCTGTGTTTGTGTGTCTATGTGGAACCAGAGTGCCGAGTACAATAAGGCAGCAACCTACCTGCTCAAGACCTGTGTTCATTTGGGTAGGTGCATGGGTTTAGTATTGTGTGTTTGTGTGTGTGAGAGGGAGAGAGTTTGTGTGTGTGTGTGTGTCTGTGTCTGTGTGTGTGTTGTGTGTGCTTGTGAGTGTGTGTGTTTGTGTGTGAGTTTGTGTGTGTGTGTGTGTGTGCATGTGCATATGTGTGTTTCTGTGTGTGTGTATGTGTGTGTGCGTGCGCGTGTGTCTGTGTGAGTGTGTGTGTGTGTGTGTGTGTGTGTGTGTGAATGTGTGTGTGTGTCTGTGTGTGTCTGTGTGGTTTGTATGGCCTTGATTTTTTTGGAGGCAGATAGATTTCATGAGATGTCAGGAGAGAGATGTATTCAGTGCTTTAAACCTTCTCTAATACAAATTTGGTGCCAAACGGGTACCTTAGCCTGCTAAAGGTTAATCTGTCCTGTTTTCCAGATGAGATGTCTGTATGCAGTTTGCTGATTGAAGAAGAGATCATGTCAAGGAAAGCTGCTGCTGCTGAACACTCAGAAAACACTTCCGTACACACCAGGAACCCAGACTACAGCAAATGTCCAGGTAAACTTATCTTGAAAGTTCATCTGTGTTGGTATAAGTCATTATGAACAAGTTTGAACTGTAATTGCCAACACAACAAAATTGGACTCACTCAAATTTTTGACTGTGCAACTCCAGTCTTTGTCAAGGAATGAGCAATCCACTGCTTCCGTGACGTCACGCAGATAACACACGTGATTCCGTGAGCAGTGGATCATAGGTTGCAGAAAATTCTATGATCCACTGCTCATGGAGTCATGCGTTATCACATAACCTTTGACCCACATACATGTCACCTTTGACCCATGCACCTTTGACCCCCAGGCTGTTCCCACCAGCGTCACCACCCCCAGCTTGACAGCCACACCTACAACCGAGTTGTCCACAGCTCTGTCCACACCTGCCCCTTGCACAGGGCCATTCTGGACATGGAGACTGACTATGTACGCAGAATGAAGGCCAGAAGGGATGCACATAATTAAAGGTATGTAGCAGTGCAAAATAATTCCAAATAATGTGTGATGTGCGATTGAAAGTTCAGGGTGAGCCAACAATCTGATTGTGTTGAATTCAAGTACAAACTTTATTATGGAATGTACCAGCACAGATGGTACATTCATGCATCCAGACAAATATACAAGTTTTTTTATATTTATTTTTTCATATACAATTGTTGCTGTGTATGGTAATCCATATATTGTGGGTAATCAAAACCAGGTTGAGTAACAAAGATGTTCCAGGCACCATTGGGAGTTAGTATCATTGTTACAAAAACATATAAAATGGACTAAGTCTAGTTACAAGAGATTCATATTTTGTTTTCTTTCTTTTTTTGTTTTTGCAGGAACCAGTTTCCTCTCATTGCATTTTGCCCGAAGCACCTTACAAATGTAGTTCATGGGTCATTCTAAGCTTTGCTATAATACATGCATGATCAATGCATCTGTTTCAAACTCTGAAATAAAGACAATATGAAACTTGCATCATAATTTCTGTTGGTCTTTGAATTGCCGTATGAGTTCAACATTTTAGCTGCTTGTAGCTGTATTGGGATTCAACTAAATAGTAACATTCTAAAGTATTAACTTCAACAAGTATGATTCCAAAATACACACATTGAACTTACTGAAAATCTTTCCAGGAATGGCCCATTTTGGTCCTTATTGCACCAAGTCTTATAAATTGCATATGACCTTATACCTCTACATGACATCAATCTTCCTGAATGTGACATTGACTGTCCTCATATGACCTTGACCCCTTCAATTGTCATTGACTGTCCTCATATGACCTTGACCCCTTCAATTGTCCTTGAGGTTACAATTTGACCTCAGCCTTCCTCCATATGACTACTAAACCAATATTGTACTTGGCCCTGTTATGTAATCTTGACCTTGACCCCCCATGACCTTGACCCCTGTGTGACCTTGACCTTTAGTCCTTCCATGACCTGATGAGGAGGAAGATGAAGGACAGCAGACGGAACCCGACCATCAGACCAATCAGTGCATACAGGTCCACATAGAAGTTGTCCTGGGAGGGACGAAAAATCTCGTCAGCATCTCTGTCAAACTTCTGTCATAATTGTAGCAGTATTGGAGTAATAGATACTTTCTGAAGTTACTTTAGCTTCTTATATCATATATGTCTATCAAAAAGAAAAAAAAAGTGGTTTTGTGTCAAACCCTCTCCCTACAATCGATGCTTTCTGGTTCACCCCCTAACTGTCCCTGCAGTCCCTCTCCCATTTTTAGTGCTTTCTGGTTCACCCCTTCCCACCCCCACACCACCAACTTCCTGGTTCACCCCCTTTTCCTTGCCTTCCCATACATTTACCTCCCCATCATGCTTACTGATTCATCCCTTGCTTTCCCTAAACCCCCTCCCCCACTATGCTTACTGGTTCACCCCTTGCCTTCCCACCAGCTCCCTCCTCCAGCATACTTATTGGTTAATCCCTAACCCTTTTCCAAGTCCCCTCCCCAGCATAATTACTGCTTCACCCTTTTCCCAAGCCCCTCCCCATGTGCTTTCCAAGTTTACCTCATCATGCTTACTGGTTCACCCCTTGCCTTCCCCCCAAACTCCCCCACACAATGCATCCTGGTTTGCCCCTACTCTTCCCCATCCCCCTCCCCCATGTGGTTCCCAAGTTTATAATACCTCATCGTAGCTGAGATTCGCCAGAACATCCTTCCCAGTCTCCAGGCAGAACGGAATCCCTTCTGTACAAGCTATAGGGGAGGTGAGAGGATTTTGTAATGTGAACTGGTTCATTGTTAGATGGTAGTTGATAAGTTTACATACTCATGTTGGTGTCAGTTGACCACTGAGAAGTTATTTAAAGCAAGTTGTTTGAAGGTTGATACAGATGACCACTGGTTGATAGGTTATTGAAACTTAATTGGTTTACATACAGTTGTTGGTGCCAGTTCACTGATTGATAAGTTATTGAAAGCTGATTGGTTTTAATACATGCTAATGTTAGTGACAACTAATTGTTGATGCATTTACTGAATTTTTATACATTTGTGTTGTGATGTTTGTGTGATCAGTGAGCACTGATTGGTAACTTATTGAAAGTTGATAGGGTTACATATTGGATTTTGGCAACTGTTAATCACTGGTTGATACATTATTGAAAGTTAATGGGTTCATATACTGATGTTATGTCAATACTGGTTGATACGTTATTTAAAGTTAATAATAGGTTAATATACTGATATTTGTGAGCGGTAACCACTGGTTGGTTGGTAAGTTATTGGAGGTTCATAGATTATTGAACTGTTGTTGGTGACAGGTTGATGAGTTAATGAAAGTTAATACATACTGATATTGACAACTGGTGACCACTGGTTGATGCACAGCAGTTCGTTGGAGTACTTGAACCAGGAAATATACTCCAGCCAGATGAAATACACAGGTACTGAGCTGGGGGAGGGGGGAATACACATGTAGTTGGGTTAGTACACACAAACCAATATGTATTTAATAATAGTATATAGCTACCTTTTGACATAACACACCAGCTTTGCATAATGTAGCACAGCAACTGCGTACTAGTAATAAGCTGGTTAGATTACACAAGATAACCTGTCATGCCTAAACTTTGTAAATCTGCACTGTATAGCCAGTATAGTCGCCCTTATCTAGCTGCTAGCATTGTTTTAAGCTAGCTAGTGATGATGCCTCTACTTTGCTTGGTGGCAGCGAGTATGTATACCACTCTATGATAGTTCTAGGAAATCAACAATTAATTGAAATCTTTGAACACCTCACAGTGTTGATAATTCTGGTATTTCAGTAGTTATGATAATTGTTTAACCATTTATATATATATGGCCATATATATATATATATGGTGACAGCAGTCTAAATTTCTTCTGCTATAAAATTGCAACATGATGTAATCCAACACTAGTTACCATGGTGACAGAGGTGTGGTAGAGGTCATTGACCTTATTTGCTTAGGAGAAGAAGAAACAGACAAAAACAATATTTTTCCTTCTGCAAAGGTAAACATAATTAATAAGAGATGTGACTTACTTGGCTTTTAAGAAGAACCCACCAAACAGCATGAGTGGGATGAGCATAGGGGCTGCTATTGCCATGGCAACATCAACAGACGGACTGATAGTCGATACCATGTAACCTGATAGGGCAGTGAAACATGATCTGGTTAAAATCACCAAAGGCAGTGCAAATTTAACTTCATTGCTATATGTTAGATCATTTATTGCAAATTCTTGCCTAAAATGAATTGCAAGTACTACTGTAACAGTTAAACTTCCCAAGAAGACCACAGGTGGTCACTATAGACAGGATTCTTAAATGCCTGTGTCTATATTTATATGGGAAAGCTATCTAAAGAAGAACCCAAAATTTCACACTAAGGCCACACCAATTTAATTTGTTGGTTCTCGGATTCGCTTCTTCGTTTTTTCTGATTTG